GCGGCGCAGGAGGCTGCAAGAGGAAGCGGCCCCGCGTGGCCGCGGGAGGCGGCGGCAAGAAGCCCCTCCCGCCCAAGGGCTCGGCGGCCGAGTGCAAGCAGTCGCAGCGCGACGCGGCCAACGCCCGCGAGCGCGCCCGGATGCGCGTGTTGAGCAAAGCCTTCTCCCGGCTCAAGACCAGCCTGCCCTGGGTGCCCCCCGACACCAAACTCTCCAAGCTGGACACGCTCCGCCTGGCTTCCAGCTACATCGCGCACCTGCGGCAGCTGCTGCAGGAGGACCGCTACGAGAACGGCTACGTGCACCCGGTGAACCTGGTAGGAGTCCCGGGGCGAGCGGCCGGGAGATGCCCGCGCGCTCCTGGGCGCCGGGCACAGCCAGCCCGCTGGGAAGAACGCGAGCGGGAGGTTCTGGTGCGGGTGGTGAGGCGGCCAGTTTAGTGTCTCCCAAGGCGCGCGGGACGGGCCAGCCCTTGTCTTGGAGGACCATACGCCCTCTCCGCATCATTCTGCTCGCTGTGCGTGGTGCTTCGTCCAGTGACAGCTATTGGCTAATATCCTACTTCCGGGGTGAATCTGGGGTCCACTTGAGTCCGCCACCCTGTTGCAGATTGAATGGCAAATCTCCCTCGCCTAACTTTAAGAAGCCCTACTTTTGAAAAGAAGGAGGGAAGCCGAACTCTACTAAAAAGCCTTTGGATGTTTTAACTTCTTGCGGAATAGCAGAGGTTTCTCCAAACGGGATTTGTCTGGAAAGTCCCTCTCCGACCTGCCAACTCTCCGGTTTGAGAAAGATCCTATCCCAGTTCCCACTTGGAACAGGGCGAGTGGGGGAGGGTGTGTGTGTGTGTGTGTGTGTGTGTGTGTGTGTGTGTGTGTGTGTTTTGGAGGAAGGGAATTAAACGACTAAATCCCCAATTCCTGCCAAGGCTCACCAAATCATTGTGAGACACAGTCCAGTAGGAAGCGTGGATGGACCGCTTAGGTCTCACGCCATCAAAATCCGGTAAAAGTAAAATCCCGGGAGAAGACATGCCAATTTCAGAACACTGATAAAATCAGAGCTCAAAGCCAGGGACGACCCAGGGTTCACTTAGGACAGCGGTTTCGGTTTGAAAGAGTCGTTTCTTCTCCAATTTCTGACGCTCTTTTTGATTTTACAGACGTGGCCATTTGTGGTCTCGGGACGCCCCGATTCTGACACCAAGGAAGTCTCCTCCGCCAGCAGACTATGTGGGACCACCGCTTAGATCGAACTTGAAGTCAGTCGATGGGATTACTGGTTAAACGTGGGTTTGGGGATCACAGAGAGAGAGGAGACTGCGTGAGAACCCCCAGAGAATGGGAAGAAAGTCCCATCAGATTCTCCTAGACACCCCACCCCGCACTGCGAACCGGACATACAGGTGGCGGGCGTGGGGGGCAGAGCTGAGGTCGGCAGCCCGGCTGTCATCGCGGGGCGCCCACGGCTGCGGCTGCCGCGGACCTGGCGACACATCACCTCTCCAGGAAGAGCCTCTTTAGGTCTCGGGAGCGCGCACCCAGATCCAGCCTCCGGCTTCAGCGGTGTAGACCGCGTCGCCTTCAGAAGCCAGCCTCAAACCGCCTCGGGTTAGTTCCCAAGCTGAGCCAGGTAAACGTGCATTATCAGAGATGGCGCCGCTCTGCGCAGCCCGGGCCTTCAGCGTTACGAACGCGCTCTCCTGGGTGATCTGCTGCACGCACAGAAATCTTCACCTGAGACCCACGACGGCCAGGTTTTTCAGTTGCAAAGGAAGGAGAGTGGATTCCTGGGCAGGGTTGGTATCCCATCAGGGCCGCGCCTTGCCCGCACCCCGGAGGGGCGCTCTCCCGCAGGGGGAGCCGTGGACGTGCGCTGCGAGGGAACCCCCCGGACCGCGTTTGCCCCCAGAGCCCGGGCTGTACAGCCTCCCGGCTGCGGGCGGGCACCTCACTCCCGCAGGCTCCTGCCCCTTCCTAACTATGCTTCGGTCCACCTTCCCCCCCAGCCCCGCAACTTCTGGCGTGAGGAGCATCCCACCCCCACCCCGTCTTCTTTGGGCCTCCCTCTACTCCTTCCTCCTGCACCTCCTTGCAGACCCCCTCGGACTCCTGGTGGTACCCACCCGACCCCACCACAAGCTCCCGTCGCCCCCTCCTCCAATGTCCCTCTCTTGCCGGTGTTCTCACTCTGGGCCGCTGAGGCTGTTAGGTACCCATGACTGTGCTCTGGGGGGACGCACCGCTGCCCGGAGGCCGCACTACCACAGTAATTAGCAAATGTAAATAAATTTATTTTTTTATGAATAATAAAACACATTGAGAAAAGTGAGTGTCCCTGGGCGTGTCAGAATGTACTCTGTGGTAATTACTGTGTCTGGTCTGGAAGTGAACCTAAAGGTGCCCCCTCGGCTCTGGACTGAGATTAGGTCATTGTCCAAGGAGTGGTGGTGGTCACATTTGGATCCCTGCATTTCTAAATGTAACTCTCCTTGACTTCTATGATTCCCATTCTTCCTGTCCAGGCAAGGGTTGCTGGAAGGCAAGAACTGGAGGCTTATTAGGCCCTAAGAGTCTTCTGGGGCCATGGTTCCATGAAGGGTATACTCTTCAAAGTAATATAGATGCTCATTTCTCTCTCTCTCTCTCTGTCTCTCTCTCTCTCTCTCTCTCTCTCTCTCTCCACACACACACACACACACACACACACACACACACACACACGCTTCAGCCTAAAGCACACCTCAGTGCTTAACAATTGCAAAGAATTCAAGAACCCCTTACAATCCACCCACCAGACTGCGGGGGGCGGGGTTCTTAGTCCAACTGGCAAAATAAAACTATAACACAAGACACCAATCTGTATTTCAGTACAGTTTTTCTTTTTCAAATAACGTTTATGAAGTGTTTAGCGTTTTCAGTGTACACCATCTCATTTTCCTGATCACTCTCTTCTGTTTTCACCATAATTTTCGCGGGCAGTAATAACTTGTGAAACCTCATCATACAATTCTCTTAGTAGAACGTTTACAAAATTCAGAAAAGTGTGAAGGATGAAACTACCTAAACGACTGCCACATTTGGGATATATTCTTTATTTTTTGAAATTGGAAGGCAGTTTTCTTGACCAGAGAGAGCACGTGCAGCTGGAGTTTAAGAGGTGAGAGAGAGATGGGCGAGCATGGCTTCCTGTTTTGAACTAAGCCAACCCCAGACCCTGGAGAACTGCTTTCTGATACCATTTTCTTGGGCCAGGAGGATTCCAGACCTCCTAATCCAGTCCTCATCCTCAAGGTGTGCTAGAGGTTTACATTAGTTGACTTCTATGGCATCAGCAGCTCTCTGGTTCAATTAAAAACCAAAAAGGAGAGTCGAGTCGGGAGTAACCAGTGACAGGAAACTCTAGCTTAGTCAAAGGCACTTCAGCTGGCCCTCAGTTCTGGGTGGCCAGCTTCTTGGGGGTGGGCTCTCTGCTGGAAGCAAGCTCTGAGTCAAGGTCTTTTCCAAAGCCTCTGGAAAATGAGGTTCTTTTCGAGGAGGAGGCACCTGCTACATGAAGGTGAACCTAACCTGAAGACAGAACCCAGCCTGAAATCCAAGCTCTGCGAGTCCACAGACCAGTGACCATATGCAACCCCTCTCTAAGCCTCAGTTTCCTCTTCTGCAAAATGGATAACAACAGGGCCTCCGTGGGAAGATTGTTGTCAGGAAAAAATGTGATAGCGATATTTAAGCAACCCTTCTAACAGGCAGTGAGCGGCACCCTAAATGCTGACAATTGAAGGAAAAGTGTCGGGGGCATGCTTTGTTTTTGGCAGAAAGACATCTGCAACAGATGGGACATTTCAGGAATCCAATCTAAGATTGAGTCCCATCCTGAGGTGCCTGGATTCCAACTGTAAAACCAGAGAAGTGTCCCACAAGAGTAGAAACAGACAAAGAAAACACAGGCTACATTTGCAGTCAATACAGATGAGAACAAGCATTTGAATAAACAAACAAATATTAAGGCAAATTTTCATAAAGAAAGATATTTAAAGTATTTGTTTCTATAATTATATTCTCTCAGCACATTTTAGGGGGAAGCTCTAATTTCCCACCCCTGCTCTGCCCCCTCACACACACACACAGGTGGTGCTGTTCACTGGATCACATGTACAGTGTTGTGCTCAGCAAACTCATTTTTACTGCTGCTTTATAATCCTGTAATTGACTAAAAAAGAAAAAACTTTTTCAAGAATTGTTTGCTTCATGGTTTCTGTAAAAAGTACAATCCCAAGAATTACGTTATTTAAAAAATAAAAAAAGAAGAAAGGGACCGATTTCTAGTAAGTCCTGAAGAATCAGTGTAAATTGCTGAGCTTCCTGGCAGAGGTTGCTGTTTGGGAAAGGCCTTGAGCACCCTGATCCAGATCTTTCTTAATATACCACGACTATCGTGTCCTCTAAGTGATAGAAAAGCATCCCAAAGCCCTCCTGATTTTTTTTTCATCATTTTTCTTTAGGAATTTGGGGGAAGAAATAGGAATTGGGTCTGGGGAACGAAGGAGGTTAAGAGAACAAGGGAAGTAAGTCTGTCCTTGGAGTCATTTCAGTTTGATTATATGTGCTGCTGTGAGAGAAAAGTTAAAGGGAAAAAAGTCTACGAAATATAATGTAAAAGGTACTGAATCACAAATAAAATGAGTAAATCAAAAAATACTCTTCAGGGGGCTTTTTGAGGGAACCAAAGCATTATTATTAGTGATACTGACTCAATCAAAGAGAACAAAAATCCCCTTTCACAGGCTCTTCCTAAGATGAATATTTTAAAAGAAATGCTTTCAGCACTGTAATTTTGAAACATTCAGACGTTTTTCTTGGTTTGGACGCTGAATTTATCTTATGCCTATTCTTTCGCTCTGGGCTTCACATTACCACTTCACGTTCATGTCGTGGCTCCTTTAACAGACAGTGACAGTGACCATTACGATTTACAAAGCAGGTATTTTTTTTTTTTACGTGCACGGTTCTCAACCTCTCACCCTCGTAATAAATGCCTTATACATTAAAGAAATAATAAGAAAGACACGTCCCCTTCATAAAACGCACTGAATGGGACTCATCCTATTTTAATAGGTAATAGGTAAATAGGTTGGCTAACACTTTTGAAAAAGATTAAAACAATAACCGAGAAAAAGTCGTTTTAGTAACGTTTGGAAGGGCAAAAAAATAGGTAAGTTTATAACTGACTTCTCACTGCCACGCATCTAATTTCTAGGAAAATCTGCGAGGGGATACGCAGTGGCTCCCTTTGGAACCGAGCCCCTGGCCCCTCTCAGTTCCCTGGGCACTTCTGCTTACCCACCCGAGTAGCCAGCGCGTTTGCATCTCGGCACTCACCGCTCGCCGTTCGCCTCCTTTGTTATCTGTCTTCTCTCTCACAGCACTGAAAAACTGGTCCAGGGAAATCCTTGGAACCCATCACTCTACGAAGGTCTAGAAAGTGGCCAGAACCTGAAATCTGCCGTATTGCGTAAATCCAACAGCACTAAAATGCTAGTTATCTTGAATTATCTCAGCTCTTGCCTGTTCTGCCATCACCTCGTGGTAGCGAGGACCGTGGAGCAGCCATGAGCAGGGCCTGGCTTTCGACTTGGTACCAATACAGTATCTGTAGTGACCTTGACTCCTGGCAGTGGAAAATGGGGTGAAGTGGGGAGCGAAAGGCTATTTATTATCTTTTACTTTTCCTTGTTCGTGAAAAAGTTTGTTCTTTTTAAATTGAAAAAACAAAACCACCTCATTTTTTAAAAGATTGCAAGTCGCCATGTCGACGTAGCTGGTTCCAGTCTAGTCTCACCAGTTCATATAGCTATGCAACCTTCTGGAACTTTAGCTCTCTTCCGTGACATGAGAATAATACATCCTACCTCATGGACCTTTTTGAAAATGGACTAAATGAGAAAATTCTATTAGGCACTTGGGAAATGCTCCATACATGCTAATTTTTAAAAATTGTAGCCTTAATTTTCTTTCCCGTAACCGTAGTTCAGGCGTCCTTAATCCTTATCTGCATATTTGTCCCATTATTCCTTTTTACCACTTGTATTGCCTTGGTCTTTCACACAAAATCTAATTTTCCTATATTGATTTGTCCTTTTTTTGTTGTTGTTCCGAAGGAGAAACTTTCATTTAGTTTCCTCTTAAAACATGAAGATCATAACACTCAACATCGAAAATTATCCATGGGATAAGAGACACACTCATGTAAGAGGGAAAGACAGACCGAAGGATTTGGTGTAGGAGCGTACGAAAACCTTGTCTATGTTATTTCAGATTCCACGACACAGCCACCATCTAGAACCTGTGCTTGTGGAGTCTTGGTGTGGTACCAAGGAATATCCGCAACGACCTCAAATGACCACTAAAATACTCCTTCCCTGTCCAGCTTCCTATCTGTGAGGCTGGATTGGCTTCATATACTCTAACTGAAGTGTCATGTGACCACAGATTGATGTAGAAAGCAAAAACAAGAATCTAGCGATCTATTAAGTCAAATATTAAAGAGGCTTGCATAAATCTAAATTTTTCATTAAACATATGTTATTTATATTTACATATAATTAGTTTATTATTTTTAAGCAAATGAATAAATATTTTTTTTATCACTTTTGATTTCTAATCCAGTAAATATTAACAGACACAAGCCACATAAACAAAAGCTTTTTGGGGACTTTAATAATTTTTAAAAGTGTAAAGAGACCAGAGACGAAAAAGTTTGCGAACCACCGGCCTAGGTAATTTCTAGGGTCCTTTTCATTGATAAGAGTCCACATTGTCCTGATGTGGCAATCTCGTGGGACAGGAGCTTGTAGATCATGTCTGGGCTGGCCCCAGGAGCAAACACTGGATCAGAAAGATTCACCAGAAAAGTTAGGATGGTAACTTAGGCGGGGCGGGCTTTGTGCGACACTCCTGTCCCCAGCCAGGCAGATCAGCAGGGCCAGCAGGCGGCCTGAGCCTGTTTCCCGAAGGATGCTCTCAGGAGAACTTCTACGCTCTCTCCTTGTCCTCCCCACACCCCCCTCTCCCTTCTCCTTCTGTTCTGGGCCTTCGTGGCCTCAGGGCCAGACCCAGCTTTCCAGCGAAAGAGAATGTGCTGCCCCAAACCCGTGACCATAAAATCTCATTTCTTTTGCCCACATATTAATGTTTTCTGGGGGCTATGTGAGAATCATAGCATTGTATAGTCCTAGTAAACAAACTTATTTAAGGGAATGTGGAGATCATTGCCACCGATTTTCACTAAAGAGCATTTTATCTGTAGGTTTGCCAAGTAGGAGACAAATATATTTATAGGTGATAATGTCGATTGACTTTATATAGAGTACATTATTGAAGTAACTAAAACCTGCACATGCAGTTTGAGTGCAAAAGAAACAAAACATACAAAAACAATAAAAATGCTTTGGAAGCAAGCATCTTCAACATGCAAAGAAAGGCTCCCATAAAATAAAATGCTCAGCGACATGGAGTCCAGGAGATTTGGATGATCCAATGGGTAAAA